AGGCTGGCCTCGAACTCACAGAGATCCGCCTGGCTCTGCCTCCCGAGTGCTGGGATTAAAGGCGTGCGCCACCACCGCCCGGCTATTTTTACATTTTTATAATTAGCAAAATTTTTAACCACTGAATTATTTTATTAACTTAAAACGATGCTTTATGAATCCTTTAGAACTTGCTTTGCATATATTTTCTTCCCTAAATGCAATATGATGGACAAAGGACTCGACCTATAGTAGAGATTCGTGTAAATAAAAATCTCAGGGATCTAGAATACAATAAGAAGGAAAGCTGACTTTCCACAGAAATATTTTTAAAACAAAAAGGTGCATGCAATTAAATAAAACAATATTCTTAGGAGTCTTAGCTAGGGTCACTCTCAGATTCCTGGGAGTTTCCTCTGTTCTAGGTTTCTAGCTCATTCCAGAGATGCCCCTGATACAAGTTGTGCTTCCAAGTACTCTCTCTCCATTCTCCCCCCAAATAATCCCTCCTATTCCCATACCCACACTCATCTAGACCTCTGCATACACCTGTGATGTCTAGTCTATTTGCCCTTCACAATGAGATTCATGTGTTCCCCCCTTGAGTCTTCTTTGTTACTTAGCATCTTTGGGTCTGTGGATTATAACATGGTTATCCTTTACTTTACAGCTAATACCCACCTATAAGTGAGTACATACCATGTTTGTCTTTCTGCATGTGGGTTACCTAGCTCAGGATGATCTTTTTTAAGTGCATCCAATTGCTGGCAAATTTCATGATGTTATTAACAGCTGAGTGATACTCCATTGAATAAATGTACCACGTGTTCTTTATCCATTCTTTGGTGGAGGAACATCTGGGTTGTTTCCAGTTTCTGGCTATTAAGAATAAAGTTGCTATGAATAGTTGAACAAGTTTCCTAGGGATATTGTAGAACATCCTTTGGGTATACACCTAGGAGTGGTATAGTCGGGTGTTGAGGTAGGTCAATTCCCAATTTTCTGAGAAACCAGCAAAATCAATGAAATGATTTCTAATAATATTGTGATATACTCATAGATCAATGCCTAGTCTGTTGTCATCAAAGAGGCTTCACCCAGCAACTGATGGAAACAGATGCAGAGACCCACAGCCAAAAATTAGATAGACCTCAGGGAATCCTGTGGAAGAAGGGGAGAAAGAGATATGGGAGCCAGAGGGGCCAAGGACACCACAAGAAAACCCACAGAATCATCTAACCTGGGCTCATGGATGCTCACAAAGACTGAAATGCCAACCAGAGAACTTGCATACAACTGATATAGGCCCTCTGCATATATGTTATAGCTGTGTAGCTTGGTCTTCTTGTGGAACTCCTAACAGTGGGAGCAGGGGCTGTCTCTGACTTTGTTACCTACTCTTGGGACCCTTTCCTCCAACTGGATTGCCTCATCCAGCCTTAATAGGAGGGGAGGTTCCTAGTCTCACTGCAACTTAATATGCTATGGCTGGCTGATATACATGGGGAGCCTGCATTTTCTGAAGAGCAATGGGGGAAAGTAGATGAGAGGAGTAGAGTTTGAGAGATTGGGGGAAGGGCTGGGAGAAGAAGGGGGAAACTGTGATTGGGCTGGAAATAAATAAATAAATAATAATAATAATAATAATAATAATAATAATAATCACTATTTAACTGTCCTCTAGAGTATTCTCTCAGGAGTTAATGAGAGAATGAGTTCAGAAATACTTTCAAAATACTGTATACTTTTATATAGTTTTAATCTCTTCTAGCAACTGTAGAATAAGCAAAAGTTTTAAAGACATAATTTAGGAAAATACTAATCACATGAATATTTTAAAAGTACAAAAACAAACAATATCTTGTCATTTAGACCCCACTTTGTCCAAGAAGAAAAATATGAACCTTTCAAAAGTTCAAAGGCTTTTGTCAGTCATTTTTCAAATATAGCAAGAACCTACGAAGATATGGTGTACTGGCTGCTCTTATGTCAACTTGACACAACCTACACTCATCTGAAAGGAGAAAAAAATCAATTGAGAAAATGCCTCCATAAGATCCAGCTGTAGGGCATTTTCTTAATTAGTGACGGATGGGGGGAGGGCCCAGTCCATTGTGGGTGGTGCTATCTCTGGGCTGGTGGTCCTAGGTTCTATAAGACAAGGTTGAGCAAGCCATGGGAAGCAAGTCAGTAAGCAGCATCCCTCCATGGTTTCTGCATCAGTTCTGGCCTTCAGGTTCCTTCCTTGTTTCAGTTCCTGTCATGACTTCCTCCGATGGTGAACAGTGATATTGAAGTGTAGTGGTATTATGTTCCCCAAAATATTGTACACCCTAATAAACTTATCTGGGATCAGAGACAGAACAGCCACTAGATACAAAGGCTAGAAAATGGTGCCACTCATACCTATAATCCTAGCATTCCAGAGGTAGAAATCCCTCTGGATCTCTGTGAGTTCAAGGCCACATTGGAAAGAGCCAGGCATGATGACACATGCCTTTAATCCCAAGAAGTGAGCCTTTAATCCCAGGGAGTGATGGCAGAAAACAGAAAGATATATAAGGCGTGAGGGCCAGAAACTAGTAGCATTTGGCTGGTTAAGCTTTTAGGCTTTGAGCAGCACAGTTCAGTTGAGACCCATTCTGGATGAGGACTCAGAGGATTCCAGTCTGAGGAAACAGGATCAGCTGAGGAATTGGCGTGGTGAGGAAGCTGTGGCTTGTTCTGTCTCTCTGATCTTCCAGCCTTCACCCCAATAACTGGCCTCAGGTTTGATTTTATTAATAAGACTCTTTAAGATTCATGCTACATTGAAGTGTAAGGCAAACAAAGCCATTCCTCCTCAAGTTGCTTTGGTTGTGGTGTTTTGCCACAGCAATATTAACCCTAGTTAGGACAACAGGCAAATGCAAAAAAAAAAAAAAACCAAAAAAAAAAAAAAAACACATGTAAAGCCAACCAATGACTATTGGCAAAGATTCTTTTTCAAAAAGAAAATAGTTAATGTGCTGAGAAAGAAATGTGTAATAATTTCCCAGCTGTTTGAACTGTTTAATAATAGCTATTGCAGTAAAGTGTGAAATTAATTGCATCTAAATAACACATGGTATGGATGCAGAAGACAATTGTATATGCTCTGCATTATTCCCTGGGACAGACTGCTAGAAGATCACCAACCCCACTTCTCTCTGTCCCCTTCCCTTTGTGTTTTTTATGTAGCTAAAGGATGTCTGGCCAGTAGAATGTGAGTAGAAGTGATGCATGCCTCTTTCCAGGTTGACCCCCTGTAGTCACAAGACTGTTGGCCAGTAGAATGTGAGTAGAAGTGATGCATGCCTCTTTCCATATTGACCCTTCCAGCACTCACATCTGTAGTGCTCCACTTTTCCATCAGGATTATTAGTTGTCTTGTACACAATTCCATTTTCAGGTAGGTATTAGCTGAAATAAATGTTACTAGATCTGCCCATGCATAGAAAACTAAAATCACCAGAGAAGTTGTGCTCACTTAGGAAAAAAATCTTGTCTAAATGGAAAAATCTTTTAAATTTATGCTAGGTTCTTCCAACAATATCCAAAGGGACCACTGATGGGAAATTTGTTTCCTTCGCTATATTTAATTGAAGACTGCCAATCTACCCCTCTGGTCAAGAAATTAGATGACTCAGTACTAGTGTTTTGGAATAGCCTCAAGGTCTGGGTTCAGTTTACATTCAACCATTTGTAGATGTAGAAGAGATGGCAATTCTTTTTCCTTAGGACTCTAGGTTAAAAATAAATCTTACAAGTTATTTTACATGGTTCTGCTTGAGTAGACAAGATGGATCTTGAGAGCCAGAGAAATAATCCTCAGAAATATAACTGCTCTTAATCTCAGTAAAGTAGCATGAATCTGGGCTTTTAGAATGCTGAAGAATTAAGATGGCTTGAGCCCAGAAGTTTAAGGGCAACCTCAGCAATATATTAAGAAATAACTTCTCAAGGAAAAAGGGAAGGGATGGGAGAGGGGGTATATGGAACAGAAGAACCGTAAGTGAGTAAAGTCCTGAGTGAATGCTTAGTGTTGACATGGATACAGCCATGGCAAGGAAGAAGGCCTCAGAACCATGGGAAATTGGCAAAGCCTTTCCCCATAGGGACCAAGCTTGAAACTGGCAAAGACTTCTTCCTTTGGCTCAAGTACAAGTGTTTATGAACAATTGACCATTGTGAGTAAAAACTAGCCACTGCAACTCCGTCCTCTCAAATGCTTGCAGCCTGAGACTGCTAGCCTACAGACACTGCCTACCCAGACTTTCCCATGTTTACATACTAACATGCTTGAATTGCAGCCCGAGTAAATGCCATTCCATCAGAGTGGCAACATCTCATCTGAACCCGGCTTTTCTGTACATGTGTTTGTCATTTCTATATTTCCCTCACCACGCCTATCGTGGTTTCTTGACCAAGCTTTGCAGGTCACAGCAGGGAGGGAAGAATAGGTAAAAGAAAGGGGGGGCATGTAACTACTTTTGTAGTTTACCCATGTATGGCACAGGGGCTGCATAATAGCCAATCAGCATCTTTCACAAACTAATTCCTCAAAGAAAACAAGCAATGTCTTCACAGGGAGGTGAGGGCTGGCCCAAGTCTTTCCTCTTTGAATAAAAGGCACACACACTTGTTCAACTTCCTCAGTCTTGCCCCAGAAGAATTTTTAGTAAATGGAAGTCAAATCAAAGAAGAACAGGATAGCGCAGAGCAGAGCGACATTTTTTATTGAATAAAGAAGGGAAAACATGAACATCATAGAGCAAAGGCAGCTTTTCTGATGAAGCTGCTACACTTTGTGCTAAATAACCTCATCAACCAAGAGTATACAGAATACACAGAACAGGGCAGTTACCTCAACAGCAAAGGAGAAGGATGAGAATGCAGATTTTTTTTAAGATAAAATTTGGTCAAGTGACAAATTTAGTTGCTCAAAATTTCTAGCCCTTTTCCACCTAAATTCAGTATGGTTCTACATATGTGTATTAGGTATATGCATACTGAATCCCCATTTTTCATGGAAGCTGCTTTTTAGAAGATTTATTCAATTTTTAATTTCAAATTTATATGACCTGATACTCAATTTTTAAAAATTTGTGATTGACATAGTATGTGTGTATATATTTATACACACTTAAAAAACCCCAAGTCAGTTCTTATAAGCAGAGGGGTCATGCTTCCCTCCCCCTCAAACTAATGTTGTGAATTTCAGTTATTTCTCCTGTGTGTCTAAGAAACTTGGTGTGTTCTCAATGCACCCACACAGTCAGGTGGGTTGACAGATGTGTCAAAAATACTTCATGAAAAGAGGGAGGTAGCTCATGCGAGTTGGCAACCTTTTGTGTATTGTTTCTTGCTGGAGCAGGCTGCCTCCCTTTGACATCTTACAGTTAAAGATGAGAGGAAAACTTTACTCTGAAGCCTAGTGAGCACAGTTGTACATTTACTATAATCCACCTTCAACTTGGCTTATAATGTAAGATGACGAATACCTTACACCAGTACACAGCATGAAAAAAGTACTGAAGAAACTTTTCATAGACAATACTTTTTTTTTTTCATGTTAAACATCAGCTTCTATGGGATATATTTCCAGGATGGTTTGTTATCACTTTATAGACATTCTAGGCCATACAAACACCACAAGTAACATCAATGTCAATTTTTTTCCAATAGCTGTATCAATTACTGGAGGCTAATTCTAACAGATATACTACTTAAGGGAGGAAAAGAAGATAATCATGACACATTGCAAAGAGAGCAATATAGCATTTTAGCAGTAAGGGTGATCAGGGACCAGAAAGAGGGGACTCTCTAGAAGGAGATGGTGTGGTTTCTTCAGGTGGGAAAACTGTAAGCGTACAAGCTCGTATGCCACCAAGGGACTCTGGCAGATCAAAGACCTTATGCCATTCATCCTTCTCTGGATCATATTTCTGCACTATCTCAACCATACAGCGATTATTCCATGAATAGCCACCAACCACAAAGATCTTATTCTCAAAGACAGCGACCCCAACATCACTCTGCCCTCTTAACATGGAAGCAATTGGGGTCCACTGGTCATGGATAGGTGAATAGTATTCACAGCTTAGGACATCATCATAATCACTGGTTCCCCGGAAATGGTTGCCACCAATGACGTAGAGCCTGTCTCCCACTGTACACATGCAGTGTAGGCCTCGAACAGTGGTCATTGGTGCCTTCTGGGTCCATTTGTCAGTATCAGGGTCAAAGCACATGAGTTCCTTTTGGAAAGTGTCATGGGTAATTCCTCCTAGAGAATGAAAATAATAGGTATAAGGCAAAGAGATCATAAAAATGTAAAAGTAAGGCTCTCGCATATATAGTTAACTTTTAGCTACATTTTATGGCATATTGTAGCTTATAAATAGTAAATTTATAAATATTGTCATTCTATATTCTTTTAACAAAAAATAAAGAAAATATGTTCAACTTTTTAAGACAAATGAATAAGGTCTTATATTCGTATAATAACTTTCTCAAATGGAGATTGATCACACTTAAGAAGCTTCAATGAATGGAAATATATTTTGGCCAGTATTAGAATTGAGTCAGCAGTAAATCTGAACTACAAAGCATCAGTCTGTTGTGGGTTTTTAATGGGTAGGCTATGGGTGCTTAGCACCAAGCTAGAGCACTTTAAATTCCAGGGACCCATTAATTCCTTTTCCAAATCAGAATACCCATTCTAATTAACATATTAGGATTACGAATACAAAGCAAAATATTTATTAAAAAGTGTTGAAAGTCTCATGCCAGTAACATACCAACCAGAAAGACTACGCAAATATGCAAAATGGTTGGTTTTGTAAAGTTTGGGGTGAGCATGAAGAAAGTGACATCTGTTATATGCGTTGCAAAGCTAAAGAATTGGAATTCTGAACATTATGGGAATTTCATATATGTAGCAGTTGGTTGGTGTAGTAGGTCTTTATAACCCACAAATTGATTAAGACTAAGAAACATAATCCAACCTATGTAATGAAAGTATCAGTCTCTACCTTCAGCAGACAAGGGGTAGACCTAAGCTAATCTTTATTTGTATCATGTGAAGAGTCATCAAGTTATAAGACAACAATCAAGGAAGCACAGTTTTCTATGCTTTAAAGCCTTACAAGAAAGCAAACCATTGTTTTTGTTTTGGGGGGAGGGTATAAAATTGGCCTGACATCAATGTGGAAGATGATATTTTTTGGAAACATACACCAGTTATGCCAACATGCCACTATAACCATTCAAATGTTAGTTCTGCCCTGAGAACTGTGAGCTTTTGTTACGGTAGTAGAGAACTTACACACATACAACAGGTAGGTGATACAATATGATTTCCTTTATGGTTCCGTCAATATAAGATGCCCCATGGTCACTCATGAATTGGACCCTGGAAGCCTGTCAATCAAAGCTACAGGCCTTTCACTAATCCTTTTTGACCACAGACATCATAAGGCAGCCCTCTGTGACTCATCATCCCCTCAACAATTTTGTTCTCTAAGAACATAACTGCTTGCTTGGTATTGGTAGGCCTTCAACTTGGGGGAAGGGGCTGTCAGAACTAGGGAAGAAAGAAAAATAGAAAGGAAGAAAGAAGAGAAAAAAGAGAAAAGAAAGGAAGGAAGGAAGGAAGGAGGAAGAAGAAACAGAAAGAGAGGGGGAAGAGAAACAAAATTGCCTAAAAAAATTAAATGTCAATATCAAAGGCGATCATTATGTTAAAACATATTTCTGAATTCTACAAAAGGGCAATTCAAGCACAAACCATTTGAGAATGAAAGTTGTTATTTGAATTGAGCCATTTTAGAATTTTTATAGAAATATATCCCTGTATATAATGGCACCATAGTAGAACTCCATTACAATACTAAGGGAATATTGTGTGTATGCATATGTATATATGTAAATATGTATGTATACATATATACACATATATGTATGTATGTATGTGTGATGGGTTACACTAAAGGAGTATTATGCATATTTTATGCACAATAGAGCTTATATGTTATATAATGTAATATTTCCTAATATGACTTAGCCAAATTTTAAGGAAAACAAATTATTATGTATGAACAGAGAATATGATTGGTGTTTACTAGAATACAAAGTACTGAGACTTTAAAAAGTGAACTGGCAAATCTAAATGCTTTCCAATTTCTTATCAATTATACATATATAGATGAACTGGTTTGCTGCTAGCTTGTAAACTTACAAAATGCTCAAAGCATTTACATGCAAATATACACACAAAATTCCTCCTAAAATATAAATTATATTTTGACTATTATTTTCCAAGAATTGTTATTATTACTAGCACTATATGGAAAGATCATATAATTAAAGTATAAACATTATTATGTTGTGTTCACAGGGTAATTGCCTACCTGAAATGTACATTACTCCACCATACACAGTTCCAGCATGGCCATAGTGAGGCTCATTCATTTTGGCAACGTAGGTCCATTCATTTGTTCTCGGATTGTAACATTCTACTGTAGCTGTTAAAAAAAAAAGAAATAGAATGATTTTTTTATCTCAAATTTTATTTTTTTTAGTAGAGTAATAATAATGTACTAATCTCTGAAAATGCATAAATCAATATGAGAGACCTCAGAGGGGCTCTTAAAATTTTTGAGACTATGTTAATATAAAACATTAAGAGATGTTACATTAGGCTAGATGATATAAATATCTAACACATTATACAACTGTAAAAATCACTAAGGATTCTTTTCTGTCATTTATTTGTATCTTTTTAATTTGACATTTCTTTGCCCTAAAAATACAGAAAAAGGTTTAAAAAATCATAAAGAAGGAATAACACATCAACTCCGAGTCCCTATTTGGACATAGTATACAAGAAGGAACATCAATATATGAAAAACTAACTTCACAGTTGAGCCTGAGGATATTATCACTGCCTGGTTTATGTTCTACACATTTGACGACAGCAACTGCTGCAACCAATACTACTTTTAACCAAAAGATGATTAGCAACAAGGTGATAAGTTCTTTATTAGGCAGACTTCATATCAGTAATCAATTTGTCATCTTCAACATAAAGTATTTCAGACAAGCGACCTCAATTACTTAAATATCTTTCAATCTATCCATTGTTGGAAAACACAAGATCAGAGTATCATCAGTCTAGATAAATAGAAAATATGTTTCTTTTTACAAGGAAAGATATAGGGATGTTCTGAGGACTGGTAGGAATCATGAAGTCTAGATGGACTTGAAAGGTTAAAATTATTAACTACAGATATTGCAAAAGCTAATCCAATTCTTTGTTTCCCTCGACCCTGCCTTTTCAGCTGACAAAACCACAACACTATGCAGGGAAGCACAACACCAACCTGAAAATAAAATTTGCTTTAGTAGGTTCCCTTCAAGCTTTATGATATAGTTTCGACTTTATGATAGAGTTCTAGACTGCAACATAAAGCAGAAAGTCTAAGGTTTAGCTACTTGGAGCCGCATGCAATCCCAACTGAAGAGTAAACCTTTAAAGCAGGTTCTCCATTTAACTACAGGCAAACGTGGGGATAGAGGAACGACTTTGTTTTCTGTTTTCTGCACTAATTTCATTTCTTCCATCAGTTCTTATGCAGTTACTTATGCTTCTCCCATCCTCCCCATATGTTAGCACTTCTCACAGCCCTCCAGTAATTTCCCTTTCTACTTACTTTAGGTATTTTTTTATTTCAAAATCTTTCACTATTCTCATTCTAATCTATTCTCTTGTCTTATATGAGGCACTGAAGTCTTTTTAAAAATTTAAATGGATACATAATAATGATGTATTTATAGTGTACAATATGACGTTCTGATGTGCGAATACATATATGATGGCCAAATCAATATAATTAGTTTATCGGTCACCTCAAGTACATATTACCTTTTGTATTGTGATGCCTTTTATACACTAATTTCTATTTACTTTATCATAATTATCACCTGACAAGAAAACACACTGAATGTACACTATTCTCTCTTTCCCTTTCCTGTCTCTCTCACATATACACAAAGTGACTTAGTGTATTGAGTGGTATGCAATATTAGAAAAGTAATAAATGGAAAGAATTTCTATGAGAAAGCGATCTAATCTGACACCTTAACAGGGGATTTTAAAAAGACTTCCAGACATCATCTTTTCCTGACTAGCCATATGCTTCTCTTAATGCGACGTTTTCATTGAACTTTGAAATTTCCCCATAATAACTGCCCTTTCCTATATCTAATTCCACCTGTCTTGATGCAGTTTCCATTATTTTCCTCTTATTCTCTTTATGGTGGAGTTAGAAATTAAATAGCTAATCTCTGTGGTTGTTAATATTCCCCTATATGAAAAGGTATTGCTGTTCCTCTGTCCGTAAGGTAATTGCATTTTTCTAATAGGGGTTGTAAGAATACATTCATAGTTTTCAGGCAGGAGCCTCTCAGTGCAAGATGGAAATTCATCTCAGTAACTGTGTAATTGCCCATCAACCCTAAACTTCCCTTTCTCCATCTGAGTCATCAATTTCCTTTACATTTTTAAGTTTCCTTAGCTTTACTGTCAACATTTAAAGTCGTTCTGTGTACAACTGTTTTTATTAGGGAAATCAGTAAGTGTTCATTATGAAAATGAAATGTAGCTGTTTCAAAATTTGAGGTACATATTCTTGTTTCTGTCTTTCACTTTTTTACAAGAAGCAGATAAAGATACTGTCCATAAGACTGACAAGCAGAGGAGAGCAAAGTTAATACAAGGCAAGGAGCCTGAACCATAAAGTGATGGTTACAACCATAAGCACCAGGGAAAATGGAGGATAGGTATCAGCAAACTTCAGTCCCAGCCAATACAGCCCCGTGCCCATTTCTGTATGGCTCACAATATAGCAATGTGAATGGCTTTAAGATTTTTTAAAGGTTGGAAAAATGAACCAAAGGACTATTTGTAACATGAAAATTATATGAAATCACAATTTCAGTGGTCACAAATAAAGTTTTATTGGAAGTGAGACTCAAGTATTTGGTTATAAATTGTCCACATTTGCTTTTGCTCTACAAGAGTGGAGCCTATTAGCTGTGATAGAGAATTAATACCCCACAAAGCTATAAATAAAGTTTCTGGGACTATGCAGAAGTGTCCTGACTCATAAACTAGAGACTCAACTTCAGTGGTCTAAGGTTCTAGTGTATAACTTAGAGACTCTTCAGTTTCCTAACTATAATTATGATGCTTATTTCCTCTCGCTCAGGGACCCCCATTCTCTGAGATGATTATATCAAGGTCTAGGGCAAGTCTTAAGAGACTCTAGATCTAGAATCTGAAGGTACCTGTTTAGTAATCAACAAAACTCCAAATCCATTAAAGGATATGGAGGCTCATTTAATAAATTTTATTAATTTTTATTGCATATTTATTTGAAATTTAATAATTTTTATGTTATTTCATCATTTGAAAGCTTTTTTAAAATATGTAATTGAAATGAAAAATCTGAGCCATTATAGTCTTCTTCAAAATAGAAAACCTCAATGGAAGGCCAGTTTCTTATATGTATTACATTTTTCAAAGGTTAGAAAAAAGAACCAAAGGACTATTCAGAAAGAAGCCAGAAATACAAGAATCACTTTTCACTTAAGTGGCAGCTCCTATACACTTATCCTATTTTCCTACAGCAACCAATATCAGGGAAAGCAGAATGTCCAAGGAATTATATTCCAGTATGACAGCAGACATGAAGATACACAGTCTTTGTTTTATGTACTACAGACTTAGATATTTTTCTCCTTAGCCACTCCTACACACTCCATGAGAGAATTTTAAAAGGCCTAGTATATTGAAATGATCTATAATGACTTACAAAGTGTGCACTGTTTTCCGTTTATAATTATTCCTGGGCAATGGCTATTGTGTCTATGAAGAATACAAGATGCACTGTCACTAATGAACCCATTAAATCATTGACACTTTCTCCATCAATCTCTGTGTCTTGCCTTCCTCTTCCCATCACCTTCTCTATTTACATAGGCATATGAGAGTGGAAATTTAATGAGTTAAGAAGGGGATGCTCATTTACAGGAAGAGATGCTGGCAAGTCTGTATAAGGGGAATTCCAACAAACAAACAACAATAAAACTCATCCAGTCTCTGGAATACTCAGAAGTATATGAAAGACTTTCTTTAAACCTCTTTTTGCTTCAAAAACAATGCCAGCAAGCAAAACTAGACAGCGAAACCAATACAAGTTCTGTTTGGATTTCTATAAAGAGATTATTATTAATGGATAAACTTCAAAAGAACTCACTGACTAGCTTCAGTGGGAAGAGGAAAACCAAGGACAATTAGATCAAATTTGGCTACCTCAACAAAACAGAACATGACAAAATGAGACAGTACACTCTCCCTCTCACTTAAGTATTATATGTGGAACTCAAAAGGAGTGCTAGGTTAGGGTCAGAAAATGAATGAAGTCTCTTGATTTTAGTTTTGTGCAATAATTCCTTCTGCCCTGAAGTCTTTACCAGAATCAAGACTCTCAATTTGAATGTAATTAGTATGTCAATCATGTAATTTTAAAAACTCCAATATACTGTGTCTTAAAATATTTAGTAAAAAAAAATCTATTTGACAGTGATATTGATTGGGAAGTAATCATTTCCTACAAAATTTTAGGAATAGCTTTATAGTTTTATACTTTATAAATGATGGGAGATTCCCTCCCTTTCCTTCCCTCCCTCTCTGTTCCCACTCCAGGGCAGCCCTGCCTGTCTGTCCTCTTTCTCTCTGTCCTGGAACTCTCTCTGTAGATCAGGCTAGCCTCGAACTCATAGAGATCTACCTGCCTCTCTGCCTGGGATTAAAGGTATGCATGGCCACGTCCAGCTAAGGGATGTAATATCATAAAGTGAACTGTAATTATAACTAGAGCAGCCTCATAACAAGGCAGGTTAGTATCTGTACTGTAATCAGAAAAACGGTTGTGAAAAATGCTGTTTGTGAAATAAGATTAAAACCAATCTATAGCACCTCAGGTAGATAATACAATATAATATATTTTAAAGTAGTTATCTATCCTTAGGTTAACCTTTGTGAAACCTTTTTAAACACAGGGTCTCAGCTGGGCATAGTGGCACACACTCAGGACTCGGTAGGCAGAGGCAGGCAGATCTCTGTGAGATCGAGGCCAGCCTGCTCTACAAAACAAGTTCCAGGACAGCCAGGGCTGTTACACAGAGAAATCCTGCCTCAAAAAACCAAACCAAACAAACAAACAAAAAAGACAGGATTTTACTATGGGGTCTAGATTGGTCTTGAACTCTGGATTTTCAGCCTCTTAAGTGCAATGAATTCAGGTATGTGCCATTAGGACTAGTGATAGTCTAGCAGTACCAATAGGCCTATTTTTAATTATTTTTTTTAAAGTAAAGGATAATTACATCATTTTCCTCCTTCCATTTCTTCCTTTCAGCCTACTCCATGCACCCCATCTTGCTCTCAAATTCATGGCCTCTCTCTCTCTAACTGTCCGTGTGTGTGTGTGTGTGTGTGTGTGTGTGTGTGTTTATAAATATATAAATGCAACCTTCTCTAATTAGAGGTACAGATCATGTTCAAGGTAGTTTATTCCTATGTCATTTGCCCAATACATTCACTTATTTCTCATTCCTATCCAGGCACAACATAAGAGAAACAGAATATGGGGATGCAAGCCAAAAAGGAAGCTTCTAGCTTTTTAGTTTTACATAAGGATTCCCCTTGGCTTAAACAGTGTAATTCCCAGAAGAATAATACTTCTAATTAATATTAGGGACAGTGTAATAAAAACTAAGTGGCTGAATATTCACAGGGATGATCACATTAACACACAAGCACTAAGAAAGGGACTCATCCCGGGTGCGAATAGACTTTTCCAAATGACCACCAACTGCCATGGTTAGCTATCTAGAATTCTGTCAACTCTTGAAGACTATCGTTACAGTAATTACTTTTCAAAAAACCCCACAAAATCATCACTTGTACTTTCTAGACATTTTCAGATATCATAAATTTCAAACAGTCCAATGAAGCTAATGTGTGTGGTTAAACTAAGGAGACCAAATACAACAGTTCTATGCTAAGGGCATGAGTGTCTTGTGTTTTTAGAAGTCTGACTAATGAAATCAATTGGGAAAGCAGCACAGTTAATAATCATGCTATCTAGGCTTCCAAATCTACAGAGCTTGGTCCTAGAACAACTATCATAACTCAAAATGGGAGAAATCAGACAGAAAAGATCAGTAACATTAAGGCCATGCCACTAATAAGAAAGTGCTCTCTATATAGAGAAAGTAGCTGTTTTCTCCAATAAATAGCTCCATCTAAAGACCATGAAAGTCTCTTTTATTTCTTACAATACTAGGAAAAAAGATTCTGAGAAGTATTTAAAGCCATGACAGACAATATGGAGCTTGGGATACTGGTCACGTCAAGGACTCTATATAGAATCAAAGGACTAAAAGGCGGCTAGCGACTGGGGTATACCTCACAGTAATACAGTGCTTGTCTACCAAATATAATGCTCTGAGTTTGAGATTCCACATTGGGGCAGCAATAAAAACAACAAACAAAACCCAACAAACAACTTTAAACCAACAAAATCTGTTTCTAGATACTTTTCAAAAAAATGTATTGTTGGCAAGTAAAAGAGATTAAACAATAATAGTGGTGACAGATAAAATGTAGTCCCTGGCATTCATTATAGAAAAAAATATGTTATTCACATTTAATATAAAATAAGAAAAATACACCTTATGTGGTTAATTTATATAGTCAAAATATTTCTGTTAAAATATACTTGTAACCAACGTTAGGAAGACAAAAGAAGTATACAATGGTGAGACCTGTCTGATGTTTCAGTAAGAGAGTAATCATGGAAACTAGTAGTCACAGATCTTAATTATCATAGATAGTAAACTCTGTCTAATACTAAATGAACTGTTTATATTGACTCTGAGAAGAATATTATCTTACTATATGACCTGTACTAGGTCTCAATTCTGGAAATGAAGAAATAAGAGCCAGGCCTCAGTAAAGAAGAATCTTGGCTTAGTAAGTACCATAGCTGGTGGGCTTTGAAAAGTCAAGGATGAAGGACTAGGTCAAACTTCTGCCAAGGCACTATTAGAATATAAATTAATCAAATAGACATTCCAATAGACCTTTCCATATGAAACTATGTGTGTGTTACAGTTGATGCAATACAGCAAACTACATATTAGATATAATTTGGACCTTGGCCAACAATATGTGCTGAAATAAGATATACAGATGGTCCCTGATATTTTCTTGGAAAAACTGTTTACAAATGCAACCCTAGGTATATTTTTGTCTTTAAACTTCTAGAACTGTTTATTTTGTGAACTAAAACACATTTCTGGGTAAAGAAAAAAAATGTATTCTATGTATAATATAAGTACACAGACTTACGCAATTCTCCAGCAGCATTTCGCCCACCGACTGCATACAGATATCCTTTGAGGGCACTTAGGTGGAAGAAGGTGCGCTTTTCATTTAAAGGTGCAACTTGTATCCACTTGTTGTATCGAGGATCAAATCTAAATACTGTATCAACAGCCGTTTTTCCTTTTGTGTCGTAATTGCTTTGCCCACCAACGACATACAGAAAATTTCCGATGACAGCAATGCCATGCTGGTATCTTGGGGCTTCCATGGGGGCTAGAGATTTCCACTCATGGGTCTTTTCATCATACATGCGCAATTCTTTACTGACAACCAGCTGCTGCCTCAGGACTCCGCCGAGTGTAACCAAGTGAGTGGTGTCAGACCGAATGGCAGTCCTGTCTGACTGCATAACTGGCTGCATAAACGGCATCATTTGGTAATTGCTGGCTTCCAGAAGCAAATTGACACAAGTATTGTCAGTTCTCATGAAATCTACCGTTTGCACGAAATTAATGAGCTCCTGTGGTGTCATCAGCGGGAATCGTATGTTCTTCATTAATTTTGCAGCAAAGTCCATCCTTGGCTCTTCCAGGCGAAGCCAGCGACAGGTAGCTTTGAAGAGCTCTAATTCGGTGCAGCGCTTAAGGCTGTTACTGGAAAGTACGAAGGCAAGACGCTCAAAAGGGAGTTTCAGGAACTCCCCAGTGGTTATCAATGCAGAAAAATTCTTTAAGACGAAGGTGTTGACGTATTTATCCACTTCTGTAAGATGGTAAGTGTTGGCAATTCGTCCAACTTCAACACAGTTGTCCAAATTAACCTAGGAATCCAATAAGAAAATTAAAACATGGCTGCTTTCTAGACATCTACACTTTGACCACAGAAACTCTTATTTCAGAGTAAGAGTGCTTTGTAAAATCCATATAGATGCAAATAAAGATTATTATTCAAGTGCATAAAGATGTAAAGAAGATGCAAACAACCTTCACCTTGATTTAGCAAAAAAGTTGACTAAACAAAAATGATCAGTTAACCTGAAAAGCAACATTTCAAATTGACTATGTCCAAAATAATTTTCTTCCTCAAAAAGTTATCATTCTCTCAAATCCTGATAAAATTATTGCTAGATAGAAATTTTAGGAAAATCATGTTATTCAATTATAGTCAATTTCTTCTTGGTTCTTCAAAGTAGCACACATAATTAGCAGGTCACCAAAAAGCTCTACTATCTAACTCTTGGACTTCTCTGTGATGTAGAGGTATCATTGTTACTATCCTCCATAGTTTCAAAGTTAGTGTTCACAATAAATGATTTAACAGCATGATTACTTCTAGGACAAAGTTATTTTATATATTTTATCCAGAAATATAAGCCAGAGAATTTGTTGAGGGCAAGAGGTATTTGTCTGCATTAAAACCCATGCAAGATGAGTTTGGAGGACCTATTTGGGGAGCGTAACTTTCCTTAGTTATTCTGTTAGTACCAACACACTCTACTAGCAGTAGTTGGAGTCAGAAAGCCCAGAATAATTTTCCCAGCACTGACTGCAATATGCCTCAGAGTGGAGAAGTGATGAAAGTAGTCCCTCCACAGCAGGATCTCTTTTCAATAACTGATAGGTCAAAATGAAAAATAGAAAAGTAACATCAGCAAACATAATACAAAAATAAACCACAAAGCAAGCCCACCACACAAATATTTCTATGTGTGTATATAACACAGTGATAGGAAAAAGGCTCCAATGCATCTGTGTGTGTTTCTTAACTTTCATCACAGTGTATGCTGAATAAGTAACATAAAATTCATCAATGTATTGTTATATGCTTAAGAGAAAACTGGATAATTCTTCTATTGATGTTTGTCTTGAAAGATGAAATGAAGAACTGAAGACGTAGCTCAGTGGTAGGCTGCTTGCCTGGCATGCACGAAGCCATAGGTTCCATCCCCAGTACTGGAAATAAAGCTAAAAGCATTACTCCTTTGCATAAAATAACAAGCCAGTTAGATATAGTAACAGTAAAAACTCTAAGATTAGCCCACAAATATTTTCACAGATATATTTCTCAAGAAGAATGTGCATTTGTTTCTGATATTTGTTCTATTTTGTTTAATAACTTATTTTTAATGAATTAAAATCAATTTTATACATGTATACAATTCACATGGACAACTCTTACTCCACCCTTTCCCATATTCTTGTCACCCGTGTCTACTTGTTTTCTCTCCATGAATCTTTTTGTGGTTCATAGGGTTTAACAAAAGCTTTGGTTTTACCAGGATCTTCTGTGTGAGCAAGAGTTTGGAGCTATCCATTTGAGCCTGGAGGACTGATGGTAATGTTTCCCCTAAGAAAACTGATTGGATGAGTATAAAAATTGTCAAAATGTCTAATTGCTTATTTTATTTGGTAGTTATAGATTTAACTTCTCAATATATTTGGTAGTTATATATTTTCACCTAAAGAAAAATGACACAAAAACAATGAAAATAAAAATAAATTCTGGTGCTCTAGAAACACAGTTTAACAATGTACCAAATATCTTTGATTTCTAATATAAAATATATTTTAATACTATTTTAGAAGTGGCAGGCTGATGTGTCATAAAAACTTTCAGTAGCATTGAGTAGAATAATATTTGAGTACCCAAATGGTACTAGATACAAGGCATTACTGTTTAAGGTAATGAATCTGCTTCTCAAGGTAAGTGAGAAATATAGGTAATTTGTGCTTTTCTAAATATTTATTAGTAGTGGTAAACAAAAATTATAATTAATGATAGCATAAAATTCTCAAAGATGAACATTTCTGTTATTATTGATATGACCACTAATAAAATCAACAAAAAATTGAGTATTTAAGATGTTAAAACAAGACCAACAGCTATTAAATTAAATCTAAATTTATAGCATGTAGTGAGTATGATGGTATATGCCTGTGATTCTAGCATTTGGGAAGCAGAAGTAAGTGGCTCACAAGCTCATGGCTAGCCTGAGCTACAAAATGAGATCCCCATCTCCTCCTAAACAAAATCAAAATGAAAACGTTTAAATAGAAGGCAAAATAAACCAACAAGAGAGATTAAAAAACCAAGCTACATAAATGGTTAGTAGAGCCTGGAGTGCTGGTGTACAACTATAATCCTAGGACATGGGCCTCTGTGGCCAGCCTGGGCTACAGAGTGAGACCTGGTCTCAAACACTAATAATAATGATAATAATAATAACAATAATAATAATGAAGAAATTTATTGGGACATTTTATTCTCTTCCCCCCTGCCCTAGCCTCCCCCCATCTTCAATAATACCCAATCAGAACAAACATTACTAAAATGACAGGAGAGAAGAAACCTACCTTTTATTTAGGGGCATTTGGAGAATGCCTTCTAGATATCAGTAACCCACATACACAGATGCACGGGACTGGAAAAGACTTGGATGGAACATCTAATCAATACAAACAGCTCCTACCTTTGAAATAATGCCAGAGGACTTTTGATAACCCTTTGAAGTGTCATCTTCTTTACAAAAGGACTAACTATTTTCTATAGCCTCTATACAACAGGCACCACACTGTGGGCACACAGCAAAGTTAAGACCCAGCAAAATCAATATTACAAATATTCAAGATGCAATAACAAAATGTAATATCTGTTAGGACAGAAAATTCCTAGGACGTTATTAATTATAAATGGAACATGGGTAAATATGTATTAGAAAATGAATTTTCATCAAACATGTTTCATCAAATAGGGATAAGAGTTGAAACCTCAAACAGTTAACAATATGTACAGATTAAAATTGATGGCGAAGAGTAAATAATTTTGGCACAATTTAGGATTACTTGATTCTTAGTCATACCTCAGGTAGAAGATCTCCAGATGTTTAAATCAGGTAGTATTTTAGAAATGGATACAGGCAATAACATATAATGTAATTTACATATATGATAGAATACCTTATACCTTAATAAGCTTCTTTTAAGAATTCTTTAAGTAGAAATAACTCAAATTTTATGCTAAGTTATCTAATTTCATGTGAAAATTTGGCCAAATCTCCCTGTAATTACTCATGAAAACAGACTTACAACAGAAGCTAGCTCAGATAGTATTACTTCATTTAAAAGGGCTGCACATACTCTTCAGAGCATCTAAAACTTCTACCTTTTAAAAGGTCTGAACACCAAAACGAGAAACAATTCTTCAAACACACCTAGTCCCTTCTCAAATTGTTCTTCAAATTTCTACTTCTATTTCCTTGGCCTATATTATTTCAAGTTATTTTCATACAATCAAACTTTCAACCATCCTCAAAACAGTTTGCGTGTTATAATTTTTGTTAGTTGTGTTCTTATTAACACATTAGTCCTTGCTGCTGCTGTGGATTCAAATGATTCCAGCTGCTCCCAAACACCTTCATTAATGTAATTTGATGAGTCAATGGCACATTGGATTGGAAATCAAATATTAGTTTGTTAAAGGAGCAGTGTTACATACGAAGAGATCCTGGTACAGATTAAATAAATGAATGCCTGCTTTTATACTCTTAAGGGAAAAAGTAGAAACTAAAAGAATCTGAAAATGTTGACTATGCCTCACCCATGTCATAGAAATAATACAGCATCTCAATGAGAAACCACTCCACACTCTTAGAGATGAAGTAAAGTTCCTTACTAAATAGAGCTCCTGGTTGACAGTGGCTAATGTCCAAATAAGAGTCGACAACCAAAAGATTTCATTAGTTTATATCAACCTTAGGCTTATGCATTTTATATACGCTGCTGTCATCCTTAAATCTCTTTTGGGTCCTGACCCCAGGGTACATTTTGAACAATTCAAACAGAGACAGGAGACTACAAGTCTGACCACTTATGCAGATAGGAGATTTATACAGCAAAGATACTGCATATTGCCAGAATTATTTTAAGTATGCCAGTGTTGTTTTTTTTCAAATAGTTGTTACTGGGGAATCATCTTGTGCACCTGGCAGAATTATATTTTCCTGGTAAGAGCACGGGGGATTAATGACAGACCTGGACTTACTTAATGATGGCTTAACCCCATGCTGCCTCCCACCCCCAGCTGCCCCTTAGAGATATATCTTTGGTATAGGATCAATGCGACTAATGGCTGGTTTTAAGTCAGTGCTATCTCCCTTGTTATGAGAATCAGAGTCTAAAGGCTGATCAATCCTGATGAGTAAACATTTATATACGACTACCCTAAATTTTGTGTATCTATAACAGGCCTAGTAAGCATGATACTTATCTTTGGGGTGTTTAGGAGGCAGTGCTCCTTTAGCTAAATTTCACATGCGTGACTTAAGGTTTCCTAAGCAAATTTATTAGTAAGTCCTTTATAATACCAATTCTATCACTTCAGCTTCTTCTACATAACCCATTCCATAAATTAAATTCTTCTTGGTGCTTTCTAGTGTGTTTGGGGAGAGAATGTTGGAGGGGCAGGAGGAAAGAAGAAGGGGATCTGTGATTGGTATGTAAAACGAATCAAAAGATTTTAATAAAAAAAATATGAAGCCTATTTCCTTTAAAATATTTGGTTTCAGCACACAGTTTTAAAAACATAGGCTCATCTTACTAAGAAATTACTCATAATAATTTAGCTCAGGGAATAAGTAAAACAAAAAACCTCCAATGTGAAATAGTCATAGTATCTTGAAACATGAAGTTCTAAGTAGAAAAGGTGCTGAGAAGGAAGGGAGAAATAGTTCAAAGCGGAAGAGTGGTTTAACTAGAAACACAATGCATCAGAAAAAGAAAAGATCCTGGTACTAACAATCCACCAATTTTCTAAAAAGTAGATCAAAGACCATGAGAGAGGAGGTTGCCATCATAAAAGAACGCAGACACATTCTCAGTCTGCATGACAAAGCATGAACAAAGTAGAATGATGTTCAGAAAAAGATGAATCTCCTACAAGTTCACAGACAAGGAAATCTGCAATGAAGAGGCAGAATGAACTGTAGCACAAGTAAACATCACTCCTATCAAGGTTCCTCACTACATATGGTGGAGCTTGTCTGCTGAAGATATTAAGAACAAAGAACACAACCTTGAAGACAATATTAACTGTCCATGATAATGAAGGCATCTCAAGAAAGCCTTAGTTATATAGCAAGCGTTTCAAACACATTAACTACTAAATTACTGGAAAGGTATAAATATATAAAATCACTATCATTCCATCTTCAAATAAGAGTTTTTAAATAGTTATTTTGAAAAATTCTTCTGTACCAATCTGATAAAAATATATTTATGATAAATACAGTTGGTTTAATTGAGTGGTGGTGACACACGCCTTTAATCCCAGCATTTGGGAGGTATAGGCAAGTGGATCACTGTGAGTTCAAGGCCAGTCTGGTCTACAAAGCAAGTTTCAGGAGCCAAGGCTACACAGAAGGATCCAGTCTCAAAATAACAAAATAAAATAAATAAGAAAACAAAATTAAAAAATTCAGTTGGGTGTGGTGGTTCATGCTTTTAATCCCAATACTTAGGATGCAAGAAGCAGAAACCTCTGTTGAGTATGAGGCCAGCCTGGTCCACAAAGAAAGTTCTAGGCCAGCTAGAGCTACATAGTAAGACCCTGTCTCAAAAAAAATGTATGTATACATAAAAATATATACATATTCTGTCTCTCTCACACACACATACATTCTCTCTCTCTCTCTCTCTCTCTCTCTCTCTCACACACACACACACACACACACACACACACACACACTAAATTTGGTCATCTTTCAAGTAAAGTGATCATGACATCTGAAGTTATAAATGCCAAACATCTGTTAGATAACAGGTCAACACTGCTTCTTCCCAATGAAATCACAGCACTTTCTCTAGTTTATTTCAAGACAAGCATATGTTGCTAAGCTCAGTGGAAAGCAATGCTAAAGAGTCTGCAAACATAAGCTTTAATCCTTGAACTTGTTACATTCATCACAATCACAGTTTACTTGAAACTCTATCATGCTGTTTGTGATTAAGAAAAACTAGAGGAAAAATAGTTAAGAGTATGGGCTTTGTATAATGGGATTAAAATGAAACTTAATACACAAATTTAGTAATGCTGGCAAACAGTAGAATGAGCAATTAATAAACTTCACTTAGACTATTCAGAAGTAATGATATAAGTCAATAATATAGCACTGTATGGTCATAAAACCTTTAAAAGAGTAATTAGCTTAAAATTTTACAAGTAGTTATGACAGTCATTTCAGTACTCTATAATCGAAAGAAATATATTAAAAAACAGGTTTTAATAGTATAATTAAATGGGTATTGGCTGATATATAGAAAATTTCTCATTTTTAAATGTTCTTTGTTTAATATGCCTAATTTTTTGTTTTGAATTGACATATATTACTTATTTAAATTTACTGGTACAATATGATGTTTCAATACATATATATGTTGTGTAATAATTAAGGTAATTAGCATATCCATTGTCTTATCCACTATCTTCATTGTAAGGACATTTTAAATACTTTTATAGTTATTTTGACATATATGAAACATTATTAGAAATAGGCACTCCACTGTGCTGCTGTTCTAGAATACCAGAATGCTACTATGTAACTCTGTTTCTGTACTCACTAACCAATTTCTCTAACATTCTTCAGCCCTATATTTCCTGGAGTCTGGTAAGCACTATTTTCCTCTGCTTCTATGAAATACACTTTTCTAGCTTCCACATGTGTGTGTGAACAGGTAGTATTCTTTTTCATATGTGTGCCTTATTTCACTTAATATATTATATTCCAGGCTTATCCTTGTAACCTGTAAATGACAGAAATGTATTCTTTTCATCATCCCCTCGTGTACTTATATCACATCAGTATTGATTCACCTGTTGGTAGATAAGAAGCAGCTTATTAATAAAATAATTAGGTAAATGCTTTCCCCGAACTTAGTGTTTTAAGGAAGAAAGAGTTCATGTACAAAAGTTCAAAAAGGCCTAAGAGCAAATTACCAATATTAAAGTTGACATTAGTTAAAACCAATTATAGGAAAATATATTATCTATCAAATGATGAAGTAGAAAATACATAAAATTTCACTGTTACTATAATTTAAATCACAAAAGCAGGCTCCAGGAATTGTAGAAATCCTGTCATCTCTGTATAAGCCAGACAATGTTTAAGTTTTCTTAACTAAAACAAAATAGTGACTTTAGGAATAGAATGACTATTAAGTAGTTCCTTGATTAGTTGGTTTAAGAAAAAGCTAACCACTATTCAGTGTGATATGTTCTAAATCTTTGCAAGTTAGCACTTAACTGCTAGTTCTTAAGATCAAAGTTCCCATATTCAAAGAAGAAAAAACTGTCAAGCTTGCTTTAACAGAATTCAAGAAGCTCAGATTACTTTTCTACGTAATTCAATAAAAGAAGTCAAATGCTGTATAAAATCACTGAAATGAATAAAGCAAAATTATAGTAAAGAAAATTATGAAACAAGTTAAGGCACAAATATTTTCAAATGTAATACTATTCCACATCATTTGCCTATAGGTAAAATTTACCTGGTTTATTTTCTACTTACTCCCACAGCACGCCTTACACAAGAGCTGCTTCTGATCTAAGTTTTACATGTCTATACCACTGACTTCATGAGCCCTTCTCTAACTCTACCAACAAGAAAAATAAGATCTGAAAACATCTTACCCCTGATATGAGAAACACTTTACAGAAGTCCAAAACCGGTAGAATCTGCAGAAAGCTGGCAGCTTCCAGAGTGTCTTGAAGGTTGTCCATGTTGAGAGACAGTTTCGAAGTATAGATGAAATCAATAATTTTCCTTAGACCTACTCTGCTCACGCCATGAAGCTTAATGCACATTAACTCTTGTTCTTTCATGCCACCTTAATGAAAAGAGAGTCAATTCAATGAAGGTGGATAATTAAGGTCAAACTTACTTCTGCTGCTAATTAGATGCATTAAAATCAAGGGAAAATCTTATTCCAAGTAAGCACCATTCTACAGTTGGGCTTTTGCACATTTTTACAGTTAAAAGAGCACTTGAAGAAAATTCTCTCTATACTAATGAAGATCATATATGATGCAAATGCTTTCAAATATTCTTCTGTCACTTTCTACCTTTTGATAAAGTAAAGACCATATTATAGGAACACAGAGTCTCTGATATTAAAAAAAAGAAAGACTATGAAGTAAAAGGGATGGTAAGAAACATGCTTTGATTTCCCATGACAGAGCAGCAGCACACACAACCACACAGATTGGTAAATATTTCTTTTGAAAGTATTTTTTTAATGACATAGAGTGAAATACTGGATTTTGGATAAGAAATAATAATACTACAATAATTAAACAGGGCTTTCCCCTAAAGTCTTAATGTGAATGCAGGTGTCAAAAGGCAATGTACCTGTGAACATAGCTTTGAAGTAGTCACTAGCAGATGCCATCATGACCCTGTGCACAGGGTAGGCATCATCTGTATCACCGGGCATCAGGGTCACATCACAAAGCAGTCCTTCATGCCGAAGCTGGTCAAAGCCCTGTAACAAGCACATGAGTTGAGCCAGGAATCAAGCGGAAAAGAACATCACAACCCCTGTGTGCTAAGCTTCTGTTTAGAGGTCTAGTCTATTTTGAAAACAGAGCCAAAAGAGTGCACAAAAATAATAAAAATTGCTGTGTTGATCTCTGTATACATTTTACAGCACACAAAAAATAGAACATGAAGGCTAATTTACATTAAGAACAATGAAGGAAAGTATGTAAATTCATTTATTTATACATTTATTTACCCTACTTGGAGAAAAAAAATGATAATTTACACGTGTTTTCCCCATGCATTAAAAAAAAAAAAACCCTTCAAGCTTCCAGAACTGCTTTCCATAATCACATGGATAGAACTGCTATAGGACTTTAAGAGAATCTTTTGCATTTTGATGGCTTTTTCCCACTTGAGACAGAAAAGAGAAGGTATCTGTCTATATCAAGTGCAAGCCTGGAGTTCATCCTATCACCTGAATTGTTTATCCTCCTTAAGAATTAAGGATTGTGCTTTAAATATTCCAATACCCGGCTTATTGCTGCTGCTGTTTGGCCAATTTATCTTTCATGTCAGAGATTTAATTATCTTTGATAAAAGGAGTGTAGGGAGTCCCAACAGTAGGCTTAATTGTCTCCAACGGCTTAAAGGATTAGCAGAGGATGAACAGGCTAGCCCCTGCAGTGGAGAGGAGAGACAGGTCCCAGTGAGAAGAATACCTGTTGATTAACTCCTTCGTCTGTACCCCAAACAGGGAGTTCGGTCTTGACAGGATTATGTATTGTATTTGTGTATCTTTGCCAATGAATGGCATGTTTTTGTTCATAATTACAAAACTGTTCACAAATGTCCCCATTCCTCTGCAAACACAAACACTCAGTACCCTAGCTCTGTAATTCACCCCTTGACTCTCTTATTCAGAAATGTAGATGAAAAACAGTAACAGTGAATCTTGCCAAAGCAATGCCAACTTGGAGAAGCTGTTCTCATACTTAAGACAAGAATTGACTCTTACTATTCATGTAAGGAGCAAAAAGTTCAGTAAGTTTATGGGAGGTGCTTTTAAATTTGGTAAGTATCTGTAAGTATAGACTGAGCACACTGCAGTGGGGGTAAGACTGTCAATCAGCTGATAAGGAGACACCCTTGGCTGGCACTGTTTGGGGACCAGTACCTTTAATTCACCAGTGCTTTGGCATATCCTTTGCAGTAAATGTTCAAGTTAGGATATGCACAAAACCCCATTTCACTTAGAAGCTGTCAATTAGTACTTTAAAGTCATGTAAGCATGGTGGGGAGAACATAGCTTTTTGTCATATTAATTAGGAACTAGAAACAGCTTCTCCCAATAATGAAAGAGAATGTGCTTAAGGCGCTTGTTGTGAAAGAGTATAAAGGTTGAAAATGAGAGGAAAAACAGAAGTAAGCCTAGTGTTTAGGAAGAAAAGGTTGGATACAGTGGAATGGCTTGTTTTCCCTTCCTTCCTCAAATAAATTTGGGGTTAAAATTATTGATATACACCTTTTAAAAGTCAAAACACATGCCTACATAACAACAAAGAGCCTTGTATCTCAATGTGCAAGGACAAACTTCATTCTTAGAGGATGTAAACTCTCCCATGGTGACATACCACAGCACTCTGATCGTCTTACAACTTTTGAAATTACAATTGATGCAACAATGAACTTCCTGTGGACAGATAGGCTCATTCCTTAACATCTGAACAGCATGGCTCAGCTCAGCTAAGGTATCAAGAGACTTTATCCTCCTCACAAAGTAAATCATTGTGCATCTATTTACACAATCATGAAAAACTCAACCCTTTCTCAGTATAATTTGATGTCATGAAAGACCCCTGAATCTGCCTTCAATCTATCTACTTTTTGTTCTCATTTTCACACTCTTTTCTTAATTGTTTTTTAAATTTGAGAATTTCATATGCAAATATTGTATTTGCACCTTGTTTAAGCCATTCCCTCCTGTTTTCCTTCCACCCACTCTCTCTGAAATTATTGATCTTTTATACACACACACACACACACACACACACACACACACACACGCACGCACGCACACACACACATACACACACACACACACCCTATTGAGTCCATTTAGAGCAGTTTTTGTGTTTAAGGCTGTACCACTTGGGACTGAATAATTTATCAGAGGACTTGTCCTTGGGGAAGACTCATTTTCTCTTCCAAAAGCCACTGATTGCTTGTAGCTCTTCACCTAGGGGTAGAGCCTTGTGAGAGTTCCCCATCCACACTGTAATGTCAACTGATGTCATTATACAGGTCTTGCTTAGGCAACCATATTGTTGAGATTTATGGGAGCAGTTTTCCTGTCCTATGTAAGAGACACTATCTTAAAGTAGACTTCAAGTCCTCTAGCTCTTACAATCTCAACCTCCCCCCCCTTCTGTGATTTTCCCTGAGCCTCTGTCATAAGGGTTGCCCTGTAGATGTGTCAATTAGGGGTTGGCACCCTACAATCTCTTCTCTGCATTTTACCAGTTGTCTCACAATCTGTTCCTCTGATCAACTCTAGTAAAGATCTTAGAGATCATGCACAAAGTGTGTCCTTTCATTAAAAAAATAATTTTCTCTGACCAATTTTGTATTTATTCCTTTCATATAATTTCTATAAACTTACGCTGCCCACCGCTCTACACATAGAGTTCTGCTTTATGAATATTGCTTAGCTTCTATTTAACTTTTAAGGATATCCTTGAAACTGCTTCCATTAATTTAAATTCACCCTTTTGTATTAGCACTTATCTTATTTCTCTATTATTTCATTTCTTCTGGGCTTTAGTTCTGACTTAAGAGGAACTTGTTTGTCCTCAGTTCCTGGATATCTACTTTTTTCCCTTCAATAAATCTCCCTACATCTTTTTTTATATTTCTTCTATATTGTTTTGGGGCAAACAAATACTAAAATGTTTTAATCTTCGTGAAATTTAAATTATCTAGTATATCAAAACTTCAAATATTACAAAGAGTCATGTCTATAAATACCCTAAAAGTAGAAGTAAATTAACTCAACCTAACAAATTTCATAATTATTCTATAAGAGAAAAGAAAGAGTCAATGTTATAAATTCTAATATAAAAATAAGCAAGAATAACTTATTTTAAAAGTTGGTTGGATAGCAGTGGCATTCAAATGAAATATGCAAAATCAACTCTGATGTATAGTATGGTATTAAAAATAATGAGGCAAGTAAACATTCCACCAACTTCTGCATTAGAAAGAATTTAGTAGTATATTACAAATAATGTGATAACTATAATTTTGCAGAAAGAATGAGCAGGAACAGGAAATTCATCTTGACAAGAACAATAAAAATAACCAATAGAAAATAGGTTTTACAAACAAGCATGTAAGATTTTAAGATGTAAAGAAGAAAAGGTTAAGTAATGAGTTTAATCTCTTAGTAGCTATCACATATTTGATCAAAGCAATATGACATTTTATTTTATGGGGCTGCTCTTCATTTGATTCAGAGGAAAGAGATATATATGCTGGACATAAAATTTTATATTAATATGAAACACTGTTATCATTATGTACCACAGCTTGCACTTTCAAAACATCTAATAGCTCTCTATCACTGTGCTACATCATAACTCCTGCTTTTCAAAGACCTCTCAAATCTGGCTCTAATCCAACTATACACCCAGAAGTTTTATGACTCTGTGTAATGTTACCAATCATATCAGGTTGTCCAACCCAGGCTTACTCCTTTTCCATTACTTTTTATTTATGTCATTCATTTTTTAATTTTTTTTTCATTTTATATACCAACCACAGTTCCCCCTTTCTTCCCTTCTCCCACCCCCACCCCCACCCCTTCCACTCCTCATAGGAGGTAAGGCCTCCCTTGGGAAGTCAACAAAGTCTGTATGTATCACATGGATCCTTGTGTTTTATGTGTCAGGTAAACATAAATTTAAAAAATACCTACTTCCTAAATAGGGAAAAAAGCATGTTACCAAAAGGTACCATTTAAGATGAGTCATTATGAACAAATAGGAGACAGTTAAAGAAAAGAAAGGGCATTCCAGGGGAGGAAAGAAGCCTAAGGACAATGACATGTGAAAGAACTTGAGGACAGTGAAAATTTCAAAGCCAGGTAAGCATTTTCTTTGACCCTCTTTTCTATTAACTCTGCTAAGCTAATGCTAAGGAAAGGGGTATGTGATTCAGTGGATAAAGGATTAGAAATTAACATAGCCAAACAATGAAGGAACATAAATCTGAAGATGTTTTGAGAAATGCCAGCAAACTATTTATGAGATAAGGATTTGTATCTACATTTTATATATATATATATATATATATATATATATATATATATATCATACATATAAGAGAACATTTATTATTGAATAATGGAAAGATAAATCTCCCAATTAAAAACTGGGCCAATATTCTAAATAGACATTTCATCTAAGGTGGCATACAAATGACCATAAGCACAAATGAAAAGCTCCTCAATATAATTAGCAATTGGGGAAATGCAAATCAAAACCATAAGTAGTATTTAACACCTATTTGGATGGCCATATTTAAAAAAAAACCACACAATTGTCAAGGAGCATTACTACATGCTTTCTTTTAGTGTACTACATGTCAAAGAGCATGTGCTACATTTATTCTTTTCTATAAAGAAACCAGAAGTGTCTACAATTCAGTATAACTATAAAATAGTGCAGCCATATTGGCAAACACTCTGGCAGTTCTTCAAAAGATTAAACATAAAATTACCACAGGACCAAGCAACTCCATTCCTAGACTCATATAAAAAAGAAATGAAAATATTTGTAAATATATAATCATAACAGCATTGTGCATAAGCTAAAAGCTGGAAGTCACCAGGTACCCATCAATGAACAAATGGGTGAACAGTATGTAGTACATCCATGCAATGGGAATATTGTTTAGTCATAGAGAGAAAGAAGTATGGTACATGCTATAACATGGATGAGCCTT